CAATTTTAGTCTGATAATGTGCAAGTTTCAAGTGACTGAAAGTTACCGTTGATTTTTTAGAATTTTTTTCGCCAAAGGTGTTGAGGTTTTCATCCATATACAAATAAATTGAGTTTATTCATCATATGAAAGCGAATGCGACAAAAAAATTCTAAAAAATTAATGGTAATTCGTAGCCACTTGAAATTTGCACATTATCAGACTAAAATTGCAGTGGCTAAAAAACTGTGTACTCAAAAAAATTCTAACACTTCCGAGAAAAAAGTTTGAAACTTAGGTGAAAATTTGTTGCCATTTTTTGAAGTTTTCTACAAATTGTTAAACTTGGGTTTATATGGGGTTTGTTAGAGAAAGAACTGTATTTTCATTGAAAATTCTTAAAAATAAATAAATAAGCATAAGTGGCACACAATTTCACTTTGAAATGGCGTGCTATAGATATGACCGATACTGTATATCCGAGTACTATGTAAAGTGAACTATTTAAGACATTTAGTTCAGTATTTTACTTTGGAACTAATTTAGCTTTGTATCGAAAATTGAAATAAAAAACTTATTAAATTGCATTTTTGTCTTGAGTATAGAAATTAGCACCACAAAAAATTAACAAAACCAAAAAAATAATACTTGGAAACCAAATTCATTCATACCGAATACTTTTCAGAGCCAAATTTCTCATCAAAAATTTCGCAAAGCAACGCGCCCGCCATTTGAAGTATTTGTGTTAAATTTTACCAAGCGCTGAAGAATTTCGGAAAGTTTTGTGTTCTTTCGAATCAAATCCCAGGTGGAATATAGCTGAAAATAAGAAGATACGTATCTTAAATTGTGCATGGTATAAACAATTGTTTACATAAAATGAAAGAGGTATTTCCAAATGCGTGAGTAAGGAAAAAGGATCTTTGAATCTGATGCAAAAAGATTTAGAGAACTTTTGGAATGTACTCAAGCAATGGAATGTGTAGCAAATGTGTTATGGGAGCGCTGTTCCATGGCAATCGCCGAAGTTTTTTTGTTGGTGATTCTCTCAAAATAGGCTCAGTGCGTATGGCAAAATAACCCTAGGAAAATTGTGGAAATATATGTACGTATGTATGTAGTCTGCGTCGTGCCCTTGGATGAAAATTTTTTTTGATACTTGCACAACCAGTCCGGCGAATTGATGGTGATGTCATGGAGCGGCTGCCACCACACACTGCAAGCTAGCTAGTCGCAGGAACGTCCCACAAGGTATTAATGGTAGTGATTTTCTTTTTTTTAATAGGAAGATGAGCATAGAATTTAGTCAGTACTAAATATGTAATTGCCTCTAATTCTTTTTTTTTATTTTGACTTACCCGAAACTCCTTGCCTGTCCGTTGTCTAGGTTATTGTTCTGACAGTTGCCTACCAAAGACAATAAAAAGCTTTATCGGCATTGCCAGGCTAGTGTTTTTAGCAACTGGTATAATGCACTGGAAGAAAAGGAAAAGAAAAAAGATAGTTAGATTATCGAGAATACTAATACAAGTAAAAGGTTCAGAAGGATGTGGGGGGTGGCTCCAACGCCGATAAATAAGCAAACCAAGGATATAAAATTAGGTCGTTTGTAGCGGAGTCGCCAAAACGTTAGTCAACGGCAGGACTTGCCACTACCGAAAGTGCGGTTTCCTTTTGTTTAAAACGTCCGCGGTAAATTCGTGTATAAAAAAAAGGTTAAATAAAATTTTGTGCGTAAAAAAATAAAAAAAGATGATTATTCGTAGTGCTATTAGGAGCCGCACCCTACGACAAATTCCCAAAGGCGCCCGTAGAGATCATCATTAATTTATTATTGTATTAGGATATATCGGAGCCAGCAAAAGTGTAAGCCCGGAACATCTGTGCATATACATATATAATTTGTTAGGAAACTAAGGCAGGTTTTCTTTGCAGTGTGCCGGAAACTGGTAGTGCAGGTGAAACGATCTTCCCCAAGACTTAGAGCGCGCGGCACCACTTTTGTATAAGTGCTAGTTTTTTTAAGAATATTCTTCTATTGATGGCATACGTATCACCCGGTATCTGAAAGTATCTGAACTTTTGAGGCGATTAGCTTGAAGTCGCTGTAGTGGGAATTTACCCAGGAGGTTACAGGCGGCTGTAAAATTTGAGACACACGCTGTTAAATGAGAGGATGTTAAAGTGTGCAAAAGCTTTTGCAGCGCTGCCAAGATAAACGTCGGAAAATGGGGTGCTAACGTTTGCATACATAAGTACATGTTGGCCGTGTTGCTGAATTATTTATTTATTTATTTTATGCAAGTTTTAGTTAGTAAGCTATACCTGGACATACATACATATATATTTGTTTTTTTTTGCATATTTTATTATTTTTTTCCCCTTTTTATTATTTTTAAGAGCCTTTTTATTACAACGCTTATAGTCTTCTGTTGTCTTTTCACTGCAAGTTGAATTATTTTAGTATCTATTGCAAAATTTTATACAGACAAGACTAAAAAGTATAAAATAAATAAAATTAGAAATTAGAAAATAATAGTTCTCAGTCCCATAGAACTTGTTTTGATAACTTTTGATTTTGAAATTTTAGCAAAAGTCATTATAAACAATTTATGAGATTGAAAATGAAAAACGTGGGGCGCTTGTAATAGGGCTGATGAAATTGGAGAAAAAATATATGTATATATGTGGGTATATTAATAAAAAGCTTAAAATCGATCTCAAATTTGTACTTTCGCTGTAGAAATTTTAGGTCTATGTTACGTATGTAGTTTGAATATTGTCAATTAAAACTAATGCTTTGTATTGCATGCGCTTAAAGAAGAATTTTGCATGCGAAAGCAACAACAAAGTTAGTTAGCACGGATAGACGATAGCGAGTTTGGTGGTACCTCATTGAGTTCGTTCGTTTCGCCACTCGCTAGCTGTATGTATGTATAGCCGTCATCGATTCGCCACTTCTCGCTCGCTATGTTTGGGTTCCGGTCGCTTAAAGAAGAATTTTGCATGTGAAAGCAACAACAAAGTTAGCTAGCACGGATAGACGATAGCGAGTTTGTTTGTACCTAATTGAGTTCGTTCGTTTCGCCACTCGCTAACTGTTGGCGAATCGATGACGGCAAACAACATTGTGCTTGCATAGTCTTCTGTTCTCTTTCACTGCAAGTTGAATTATTTTAATATCTATTGCAAAATTTTGTACAGACAAGACTAAAAAGTAAAAAAAAAAAAACTGTTTAATATACAACGCTATTATAAATGGACTAAAAAGTAGAAAATAATATTTCTCTGTCCCACAGAATTTGTTTTGATAACTTTTGATTTTGAAATTTTAGCAAAAGTCATTATAAACAATTAATGACATTGAAAATGAAAAGCGTGGGGCGCATGTAATACACTTGAATTGATATGAAAAGTAACATATGTATGTACATATGTGGGCATATGAATAACGACCGCTTAAAATCGATCTCAAATTTGTACTTTCGCTGTAGAATGTTATGTAGTTTGACTATTGTCAATGAAATCGAATGCTTTGTACTGCATGCGCTCCACGTTTTTCGTTTTTAATGTCATTGATTGTTTATAATGACTTTTGCTAAAATTTCAAAATCAAAAGTTATCAAAACAAATTCTGTGGGACTGAGAAATATTATTTTCTACTTTTTAGTCCATTTATAAAGGCGTTGTATATTAAAAAGTTTTTATTTATTTTATTTATTTTTGAGTTAAAGTCAGTTTCTTTGTAGAGACCCAGTAAAACCTACCTCCATATTAAGAATCCGTTCCGTTTTGAAAGCTGAAAATCTACCCTGTCAAACCCCTCTCTAAGAGCTCTTTTAGGCAGGTTTTAGGAAGACGTTAGAATTATAAAATTTTGTTTCGACATACACTTTAATGTGGGTGTTGCCAAAGAAATTTTAATGGAACGGCAAAGGCACCCAAGGTTGGGAGGGCGAACCAAGGTGTGTAAGTGAAGCGCAGCAGAAATCACTTTTGTTTGTTATGATACCTCACTACCTGATGCAGCGGTTTGGGAACCCGCGACCCGCGCTTGAGCTAGCCGAGGAGCTGCGTCAGGCATGATGGCTTTGAGGGTTCACCGTATTACAAATACATAACAAATGTTAATATAATTGAATGTCCCTCCGGACTTATGCTTCCGAGTTCCCAAAAAGACTTCAGTGTTGGTGTCAGTGATAGTGAGGGTGAGGATATATGTCCAAGTCCCCATAGGGAATTGGCTGCTGATAGTGATAGCGAGCAGGAACAGTTCTATTTACACGAGAGTGAGGGCGAAGAAGCTGCAGAACTTAGTAAAGCTGACGAAATTAAGTTCTGGGCCATGAGAAATAATATATCCCGAATTGCCGTGGACGACCTTCTGCAAACATTGCATAGGGCAGGTGATCGCGATTTGCCAATGACGGCCAAAACACTTATGGGAACCAGTAGGAAAAAGGTTAGTGTTATACAAATACCTAATAGTGAGTTTTTGTATTTAGGAGTTCAAACTTATTTATTGTCAGAGAGCTTAAATTTCTTAGCCAATAAGGAAGAAATTGTAATTGACATAGGTATTGATGGACTTAGGTTGTTCAAGAGCTCTAACAGAGTATTATGGCCAATTTTAGGATCTCTTTCGCGGATTTCCCGCATATTAGTCCCTTTGTCATTGGTTGCTTTTCTGGGTTAAGTAAACCCAAAAACATCAACGACTTCATGCGTGATTTTTGTACAGAGGCCAAATCACTTAAAGAAAACGGAATTAAATTGGGTTCCATGGCAGTTTTAAAACCATTTAATATTCGTGTTTTTATTTGCGATTTTCCAGCCAGGGCTTATGTAACAGGAGTAATAGGTCACAATGGAAAAAACGGATGTCCTAAGTGTAGCGCAGAAGGACTTTATAAGGAGGGAACCTTTCCGAAAAAGGTTGGTCTACCCAGGTCAGATAAGTCCTTGGCAATGAGAGCCAGTACTTTTCATCACCTTACTCAGTTTAAGGAAACAAAAAGTGTTTTAGAGGAAGCGGGATTCGGCATGGTTTCCCAATTTCCACTCGATTCCATGCATTTGGTGGATTTAGGCGTAGTTAAGAAATTGCTGAAACTGTTTATTACGGGTAAAAAATGCAATATTAAAAGAATCAATGACAAACTTACTTACAGGAGCTTAGATGAAGTTTCTAATTGGAAGTCAACTGAATTTAGACAGTTTTTGCTCTACAATGGAATATTTGTTTTAAAGGATTGTATAAGTGAAGATTCATATTATCATTTCCTGTTATTACACAGTGCTATTAGACTTCTTTCTAGTGAAAAGTCCTGTAGAAGAGAGACCGGTATTGCCCGAAAAATGTTGGAAGATTTCGTTACTTTTTTTGGTACATTATATGGCGATGAGAAAGTAAGTTTTAATATTCATGGATTACTCCATTTGCCTGCCTCTGTTGATGCATTAGGTCCATTAGACTCGTTTTCCGCATACAAATATGAAAATTTCATGCAGCATTTAAAAAAAATTAAAAATCCTCATAATTACTCCAGCAATCGTTTCTGAGGATTCAATAACGGCAAGGATCAGAAATGTATTTCAATACTTTGAATGACTTTGGTTCATTCACTTTGGATGATAAAAAAGAGAAAGATAGTTATTTTTTGTGAGAAGAAAGGCCCAATCAAAATTATAAAAGTCACAAAATCAGGAGAATCAGACAGAGTTCTGTGTAGATATTTTCAGAAAATCGAGAGCTTCTTTTTGGAACCTATTACTTCGTCTTCAGGTCTGGGAATAGTGGTTACAAGTGTTTTAGCCTCGGAAATGGTGGAAATATTAAAATTAAATATTAAATACTTATAAGTACTTTTACACCATTTGTTTCACGACTTTCCCAATTTTGCTACACATTCAAATTAAATTAAATTTTTGCTACCATATAATATGAATATAATATAATATATGGGCCATAATAATAATATGATATGAACCATAGTAATAATATGAACCATAGTAATAATATGAACCATGCACATGGATTCAAGCAATATTCTTGATGAGTCGTTTTGTGAGGAGTCTCCAGTCGAAAGTAAGTGGAATGTATGAAAAATGTTTCATCACATAATTCCATCGTTCTTTATTTTAGCCAATCCCTTATAAAGAAGAGGTGCTACGACACCAATGTTGAAGTGGCAGGTGCTTAGGCCAGTTTGCTCTCCGATTGATGGTAAGTGTCTATTTAAAACGATTTTAGTACTAATTCTTGAAAATTAACGCGAAGCTGGACACCAATGTTGAAGAAGAGGAAGCGGCAGGTGTAAGCCAAGTTTGCTCTCCGAGTGATGGTAAGTGCCTATTTTAAAAACTATGTAACTAACACTTACGATTTTAATATTAATTCTTGAAAATCATTAAAGATATAAACGCGAAGCTGGACATCATTCTTAATAACCAAAAAGCCATATGGGATTCTTTGCA